GAATAGCATGATTCAATTTGAATATAATTATCACTATAGGCTATGCCTAAACAAATTAAAAATTAAATCTTTAAGGAAGCACGCAACTCTACAAATAAACGGAGAGAGGATTTTATGTATGTAGAAATTCGATAAATAAAATGAAATTTCCGCTCTAAGAAATAAGAACTATTTTTATGAATCATCCATCTCAATCGCCTTTACCAAGCAAGTTATGATACTTTTGAACGAGTTTTTCTGTAAAAAGCTAAATAATACTTTGTCAAAATTCTTCCACGAACTTGGAACTCCGAGAACTCGCTCAGAATTGGAGGTAATCTACTTTAAAATATAAGTTAGGTTTTTTTAATCAGCGTTGAAGCTAGTTTGAAGTTAATGTTTCTCTGACCCTGTGGCAGCACACTTCAGACCAATTAAATTAAAATCTATTCTGCAGATTATAGTCTTGCAGGTAATTGCGCAACTAATAGTAGTGCGGGATCCCGAGCCTACTTCTTCTTAATATTTCGTAGATGTGATAGCGTCAGTCCATCCCAGCATAAGATTGTAATAGAAAACTAACGAAATTGTCTATAGCCTATCAGTCAACTAGACTGCATTCGTCAACTTCGTCATGATTTTCATCGACAAACGCGGCATGAAAATGTCATTAATTACATCGGGGTACATCTTTGGCACCCTTGACTATGATTTCGCTAAGCTTGATTCACATTTTGCAAGCCTTAAAGCAGATAGTCAAAGGCAAAAAATGAAAATTTATGAATGTATAATCTCGCAGCCATACTTATGGATTCAATAGATGTAGAAAATGTAGAATTGACAATATATATACCTTACTATTATGTAACATTCACAACTGCCACGAGCACTGCCAGCGCGACTGCACGCACAGGCTCGTTGCGTGAGGCCAGTTACCCATAGGCATTACTGATGCATAGGCAGCGTTAGTCAAGAACAACTTCGTCGCAGCGTGCCTGCAAAAGCTGGCTTCCTCAAAACATAACTTTTCGC